GCTTTTTTCAGTTCATTAGATGAATCAAAAATTCATCAACTGTGTTAACTTTTACTTATCGAATGTCGAAGCATATGCTACTAAATACCATAAAGGTGCCCCAAAAGTGGCACCAATATTTGCGACTTAGGTTGGAAAAAAAGAAGAGTCGTACTATTACATTACGCCCGCTAAAGCTCGCAGGTATAAAAACAGTAAAAAGCATGACAATTCTTGGGTAGTAGAACCTTCCACCCTACGAAGCATGCAGGTGCATAAGAACGAACTTTGCCGAAACACGTAACCTTCATGTAAAAATTTAGCGAAAAAAGATTTTAGAAGGAAACAAATCTATTACACGTCGTTTGCATTAGTAAGTTATTTAGTCCCAACAATACATTCAAATTAGCGCAAAAACAAATGGAAATTAAAACATCTTCGTTATTATTAAAGAGCGTAATTCAGTGTCCTTTCAGCAAACTAAGATAAGCTGAAAAAATCAAAAAACCACACCGCAAAAATTCCCAACTGGAGCCTGACCACAACGAAAAGTTTTCAGGGAAAAAACATGTCCCAAAGAGTTTTCTTCACTTCTACGCAGAAATAAAAGAAACTTCATCAAATTATTCCATTATTTAGCATCATTGAAACCATAAATTGCAATCAATTGAATATAGCCAACAGACAGCTGGAAAAGAGTCAATCAACGCAAGTTAACAGAAATATTGAATTAATTTTTGAATTTCATTAAAAAAACAGTCCCTTAAAGCTCTTTAATTTTCAAGAATAATTTAAGAGTGGTGCTTTTTTTGAGAAAATGAACCTAATTAGAGAAAACTGGATCAGTCAGTAAAAATTTATTTCATTTGGGAAATCGAAAAACTAAATTCAACTTTCGAAAGAAGAAGTCAATTCCGTTTCGTGACCTTTACACTTTTGCTGTTCCATACGTGAGTTTGACTTCCTTTTTGACAAAGTTAACGACCTGAAATTAAAGGAAAGCAAAAGTCAAAACGCAAAAGAGTAAATTTCAGCCTGAACAAATTTTAACTTTTGCTTACAAAACCAAAAAAAAAAATATTGTAACATTTATAAGAGTTTGAACTATGTTCATTGACTCTTAAGAAATTTGACAAGAAAAAGTTGAAAAAGCCGGAAAACTTACAAATTCTGCAAAAAACACAATAAATAGTTAAATTTTTCTTAAATTTCAGTGAGCCTTCGTAACTATTAGCACTTCGAAACCCAGTCATTATAATAACTGTTTAGTATGCAGAGACAAAACCGATGAGATAACCAGTCAAAATACATTGATGAAAAAACACTACCCGCTTGAAACAAAATTGCACGTTTAATTGAATACATGAAAACTCGATTAAAAAAAAACAAAATGCCTTCAACCAAGTAGTAGTTGCTTCCCGCAACAATTTAGTCAAGGAGGCTTTTAAAAGGAAAAGCTCAAGTTGTGCGAAGCGCAGGTTGGCATCACTTGCGACACAAAGCAAGACAGCCGCCAAGTCGGAAAAAACGAGAAAAAATCAATAACTAATCTTTCAAAATAAAAAAAGGCTAGTTTTGACACAAAAACATGACAAGACAACACAATGTAAAACTATAATTGGAAAAAACTATCCAAGACAAAGCAAAGCCGAAAGTACCGTAGCAGAAACCATCCAAGCCGAAAAAAACTCAAGAATTTAAAAAATATTGAATCCCCTAACCCTTAAACAACAAATCAAACGACGGAGTATAGGGCCACTAAGTTGATATAATATAGGTTGAAACCTATCAAGCCGAAGAAAAAGAAAAAAACTTATAAAACAATCAAAAAAGACGTAAAATGTACCCACCACCATCAAAACACACATTCACATAAAACTTTTTTCGCTCGTCAAAAGACGCAATATGATGCCGTTGAGCCGATAAAAAGCAAAAAAATAATCAAAAATAAGTCTGTTGTAAAAATTTTTTAATCTTTCCTTTGAATAGGAAAGATAATCAAAAATAAGTCTGTTTAAAATTTTTTTTTGCGAACAGAGGCTTCCAGGATATGAGAACAATAAACAAAATTATTTAGAGGAAAAGTATATAGTACCCGGTTGTAAAAAACGTGCAATCGCAAGTGTAAAGAAACCCAGAAAAATCAATTTGAGCGTAAGCTGATTTCAAGACTTTTTTGAAAGAAACCGCATGAACTTATTAGTAAAAATTCACTTCGTTTAACAATAACTAATGAAGCTCATTTACACAGATGCTGAGCGAAGCCTCACAACACTTACAATTCGAAAAACTTTCGTAAAAATGAAGTTGAAAAATTTTCTTGAAAAATTGAGACAAATGGCACTAAAAAAAACTTCATGATTGGATAGGAAGAAAATATAAACATTTTCTAAAACATTTGAAAATCATTTAAAACGCGGCAACAAATTTAGGGTCAAAAACCTGTTGAACTGAGAACAAATTATTGTCATAAAAATTTCATATGTTTTTGAAAGTTTTTACGACCCATCCATTGAAATTTGAAAATCATTTAAAACGCGGCAACAAATTTAGGGTCAAAAACCTGTTGAACTGAGAACAAATTATTGTCATAAAAATTTCATATGTTTTTGAAAGTTTTTACGACCCATCCATTGAAATTTGAAAATCATTTAAAACGCGGCAACAAATTTAGGGTCAAAAACCTGTTGAACTGAGAACAAATTATTGTCATAAAAATTTCATATGTTTTTGAAAGTTTTTACGACCCATCCATTGAAATTTGAAAATCATTTAAAACGCGGCAACAAATTTAGGGTCAAAAACCTGTTGAACTGAGAACAAATTATTGTCATAAAAATTTCATTTGTTTTTGAAAGTTTTTACGACTCATCCATTCTGAAACACAGAACCGCATGCGAATATATTCGCCATCAAAAATATGCAATATTACTTAACTATGCCAAAATAACATAAACTGAAACTGTTTAAATATTTTAAAATGAAAAAAAAAATTGCTGAAAAATAGACTTGATAAATTTACAAATTGATGCACTTTCAGTTACAGTAAAAACTGTTTAATAGGAAACAAAACACATCCTCTTGAAAGTAACCCAATAAAACCCTTCCTAGATAAAAAAAAATTGCGTGTAAGAAACAGAAAACGAATCTACAGAAACTAGGACGAAAACCACTAATGGTATTTTGATTTGGATTCTCAAGAAATTGATCAAGTCAAAAGTGATTATTTACGATTCCTACTAAATTGACTATTCAGCGAACGAAGTTACTTACGGGGGGAAAAGTCTAGTACCTGATTGCAATGCCCTTGCTAATCGAAGGATAGAAAAAATTCAAATCAGTATATAATTTTAGAAATAACACTTTCATGCATGTGGAGAAAGAAACGTTTTCAAGTCAAGATCCAATGCAAAAGCCATCAAACCTTTCAACATAATACTACTCTACTCGTACTCGACAGAAATTAGTGCAACTCAGACGGTTGATTCAGAGTGCAAAAACTTCCCAGTGCGAAGAAATGAAAATGATCACCCGAGTAATTTCACGGAAGTACCAAAAAGCATTTGATTTTCAACTGAATGCTTTCCGACACATCCGGTAATTTTTCTACGGGTTACAAACGCGAAGACTTACCGCAATAGCAGATATGAAGAATATTTTTTTAATGACACAAAATGAATCAGTTATAGAACTCAAAGCCGACTACTCCGATTGTGAAAAAGTCAAATTTATGGAAAGTGTAGAGAATTACAGAATATGCATACTCATTTTCGCAATTAGCACATTAAATAGTACAAGCTCCGCTAATGTAATTATATTCAAAAACAACTAACCAAAAATTCCGCCCATGAATTAGTTATGCTAAATTATGCTAAGAAAGAATATTCCCCTTGGAACTAACCTTTATAATAAATAAGTACCGAAGATATCATTTATTAAAACAGAAATCAGTACTGTTACCACTTAACAGAAAAAAAGGATTGAGAGAGACACGTAGATTCTCCTTCTCGGTTTTGAAGAAGCTAAATTTCGAGTGATCGGTTTCAGGGGCGGATCTAGGATTTTCTCGAGGGGGGGGCGGATTTTCAAAAAAAATCGAAATTTTGACGACCTTTTTTTTTAGGTAGGTCGACCAAATTAATTTTTTGAGCTCTCCCAAAGCACTGTTTTGCCCCTATTTTGGCAAAATTTTCTGCTCCGCAGGCAAATTTTTGAAAAACAGTCAAAAAGCCGTTTTTGGGCTTTTTTTGAAAAATGTTGACAAAAAATCGCGTTTTTTTTTGGCGCGCGCACCCCCTCAAAGTTATTATATATTGGCGCCGAAGGCGCCTTTAGAAAAATTTTAGGGTTGGTCGGCCATAAATGGATTTCTGAAAAAGTATCAAAGGGGGGACCCTTTGGGTCGGCAGGGGGTCGAATCCCTGAGGGGTGGGGGGGGGGGGGGGGGGGGGCGTCCCTTCCCCCTACCTAAATCCGCCCCTGATCGGTTTCCCTGTTCTAAAACCTTGTAATATGTCCAATATGTCGGAAGGGGGAAGGTAATTTTTGGAGTCGGACAAATTGGTTTTTAGGGTGCCCAATGACATCTATGTCGAAAAAAAATAAGCCACAAAAATTCGCGGAAAACGCAAACATAGAAAATTTTTAATTGAGAATATTCGAAAAACGCCGAATAATTTGAATTTGAAGTTAACCGATTCTTTTAAAATTAATGTGATCAATCATTTTTATTCGTACAAAGGTTCTAGCTATAAATTAATTTGAATTCCATTGCATTTCATAGTCAAATTGTTAGATTTTAATTTCACCGAACGATATATATCATTTATACAAACCAAACATAGCCAACATACAGTTGGAAAAGAGTCAATGAATGCAAGTAAACAGAAAAATGACTTGTTTTTTGAAAAAATCTTTCAAATTTCAAAGAACAAAATATATGGCCGTACAGCTTTTTGAATTTCTGGAACAATTTATGATTGAAATTTTTTTGATAAAATTAACCCAGTTTAAAAAAACTGAATCATTACGTAAAATTTTTATTTCGCCGGGAAATTTCATAATTAAATTCCACTTTCGAAACAAGAAGTCGATCTTGTTTTCGTGACCTTTACACTTTCGCTGTTCGATAGTTGAGTTTGTCTTCCTTTTAATAAAAGAAATGAACTGAACAAAAGAAATCTTAAGTCAAATCGCGAAAAAGTACAATTGAGCCTGAACAAATTTTGAGACTATTCCAGATAAAAAACGAGTAAAAAAAATCATCGCTACCTATATAAGAGTCTGAACTGCGATCATCGACTCTTAAACAGTATTAAAAAATGATGATACTTTTCAGACGTTTTTGTGACTTTTTGTGACAATTGATATTTAGTTGAGAATAGGACAACTATATATCAGAGAAACAGACGAATTTAATAAAAATAAATGCTTAGAGGGTTATATTTTAACCAAACTTGGAGTGAATGACATCACAAAGGGATCTGGTCGTGAATCGAATCATGACTAGTTTCGATTGTGTCACTTGGCCCCGACGATGTGCCCACAATTGCAACTGATGAATTGTCTTTATTTTCCAAACAGTAATTGGACTCGATACTTTTAGTGAAATATGGAATCGTGTTCTTTTTCAGTTTCTCGAACATCAGAAATTTATCCAGCGCTGACTCGCACGCGTAATCTAGCTTGCTCTTGTAAACTGGGAAAAATATGGTTTGTGTTCTCAATGCTTGGTGTAAACTTTCGTTTTCCAGACAGAAATCGGGAGGGTTGTAATAGCGACCATAGAAGGGATCCATTAATTTGTCTTCAATGTACTTGTTCCGTTTACATATTAGAATGTCGACTTCTGCTATTTTTCTTAGTTTTTGCATTGCATAGGCGAACATCACTTTGCCCAAATTATTGCCTTAAACATAATTATACATTTAAAGAACATTTCAAGATACACCTTTTCGGCTTGAATAAACTTCTCCTTCTCAAAATCTCAAAACAAGAAGCGAGATGGACATCGATACATCATTACATGATAAACAACAACATTCTTCTTATAATTTTGGCTTAAATGGTCCCGTAAAACTATTTCTAAAATTAAAGTCTGACCTCTGAACTCGGGGGCAACAACCATCGTCTTCAAAATGCAGACAGATCCAAACGTGTAAGCAAACAAATCTTTCCTCTCACGCTTCAGCAAATCATAATGCACGCCTAATTTCTGCGACTCGGCTAAGAACTCATTGGTCTCGATGTCGTTGTTTTCTATTAGTTGCTCCACCTCTGTTTGCGTTTCTTCTGAGCAGATGCGCCCTATATGGTCGACACATAGATAGCCAATTACTCGCACATCCTCTTTGTTGTTCGGGTTCAGAGGCTTCGCCAGTACTACGAGATTAAGTGGGAACAATTGATCGCCAGCAAACCTTGTTTGGAATTTAATCTCTTTCATTTTTGATGAAAAAACGTCTTCTTTTTCTTCAGTTGTTTCTTCTTTTCTGCATGAAGTTTGGTCACAATTTTCAGCTTCCTGGCTTTTTATTTGTTCTTCATGTTCGACTTTTTGTAGCAATGCTAACACTTGATGAGCGTATTTGGGGTACTTGATCAAATCGTGGACAACAATTCTGGCGTTGGTGTAGATATCAGTTGCCGATCGTCTGTAGGAGAGAAATATAGCTAATGGCAGCCCCAGACCCAAAGATATCAGAACACCCCCGACACAAGCGAAGATGATGCCGCTTCCGGCCATGACGAGCGCAATGAACTTGTCATGGTCCGTCCAGTACTTGGATAACGCCGTCTTCAATTTGTGCATTCGGTTGCCCGATCTGAGCTCGATTGGGCTCACCGGGGGCACAAAATCCCAGGGCGTAAGACCGGGCATATTTTCAGCACTCAATTGCTATCGTGATTAACTCATCATTATTCTGAAACAGTACAAAAAATAAAAACGAGAGTGAAATGATTACTACATTTTCATATGGTACTGGTTTATTTATTCAACTTAATAAACTTCCTTCGCGTCAGTTACAAACAAACGCATATTCGATAAAATATAGTTAGGAAAACGTTTTCATTTAAATATGTAAACTACTGAAAATAAAAACCAAAGCATTAATTTGTAATTTGATTTCGAGCAACGCAAAATTAAACACATGATTTAAACTGTTCGCCTTTTATGTCACTTTTTCTTTCTTTGCGCTAACAGATTTTTGTCGATTGGTACTATTGATTTTCCATCCTACACTTGAGATATACGTCCAACTGTCACACACTTCTACCCTTTTCTGAGATCAATAACCGCCAATTTGAAAGGAAACTTCACTCAAATGAGCTCTTGGGATACACCAGTGCAATGTGTAAGAAGTTGTCGGGATAAGATAGATTTTCACTCAGCCATTGCAAGGGTATCTCCGGCCGCACTTCCATGCCATGTATTATAGTTGAGAGCTGCTTTTTGCTCCATTTCGAGTAGGTTGACTCAGGTAGAACTTGTTTAAGCAAGGTGCCCAGAGTTGAAACTTCACCAGTGTCGTAACATACAGGGGACACTAAAACAAAAAATATTAACTTTGTATTTTATTGCATGACTTGCTTTAGATTAAAATTACACATATTAAGATTGAACATATTTAGATTATGATTACACATATCGGAATAAGAAAGAATTCGCTTTTCCAAACTGCCTTTTTTGAAGTGACACAAGACTAAATGAACTTTGAAAAATAGAAACAAAATCAACGACAGATGAGAACGCGACAATGAACGAAAGGAAAAAATTTTGGACTTGTTTTTTTTTTAATTCAAATTTGAAAGAAAAACTATATGACGATTTTCGTAACTTTTACACATTCGCTGTTCGATAGTTGAGTTTGCCTTCCTTTTAACAAATAAACTACAAAATAGCAGGCTCTATTCTTGATGTGAATTCTCATTATCTCACAAGTTGACATTTATTAAAAGAAACTCGCATAAGCACAGGTAAAAATGCAACAATTTCAGCGTCAATAAGCCTAAATTTTTTTCAAGTTTAAGAGCTTGCGCTAAGCACAGCATTCTTTGCTAATTGCATTGCAAAAAGAATACAGAGCGGCCTGACATTTTAAATCAAAAACTAAGTCAACTGCAATTTGGAAAAGTGTCTTAAGTGCGAGAAAACCAAAAAGAAAACTGATAAACTTTTTCTTAACATTTTTGAGTTTTCCTCTTCCAAAAAACAACACATCGCCCCAGAGATTTTTGAATTGACGAAACTTTTCTATAAGACAAATTTTTCATACAACTAACTTGATCAGAGGAGAGAAAAAGGGTTTTCCGGCACTTTTTTCTGCTGGGAAAACAACAATTTATATTTATAAATCATTCACATTTTATCCGAATCATTTGGGGGTCTTTCCCATTATAGTCACTCCAGCCAAAAAATTATTGCCCGTCTAGTTTGTGAATTTTTATTTAATTTTAGAAAAATGCTGTGCTTTCATTCCGATGTGTTCGTACAAAAGAAGCATCCATGTTTTGTTAGTAATCAATTTAGCTTAGCGCTGCATAGAGTTATTTTTTATGCATAGAGAAATAAATATTCTCATGCTATTTCACTGCGCATGTGTATTTATTTTGTCTGAGTTATTTACTGGTGAGGCTAAAGTTTATCGGATGAGGCTATGATGGGAACGAACGACCAAGGCTGTTCAAAAATTAATGGGGGGAAAAATTAACGGCCATTAATGGATGGCCATTAATGGATTTTTTAATAGTAAAAATGGCATTAATGGATTTTTAATTCGAAAAATTAAAGGCCATTTCCGTTATTTCAGAGAAAGATGTTTTGTGCGGTGGAAAGTGGAAATCCAAACAAAGTGCAAACAAAGTGAGCAAACAAAGGAGCAAACAAAGTGAGCTGAGCAGATTGTTTTACAACGCGGTTCCAGCAAGTCATGCCGCCCAATTCTGCTTCCAGCAAGCGAATCGTTAACCATTATTTTGCTGTCTTAAGCGATGACACACGGAAATGTGTATGTGGAAAAGTTATCAAACAGACGAAAAACAAGGGTTATACCAACTTACTAAATCGTTCCCGAGTTCGACATGGACATGAAATATCTTGCGCCAAACGCTTCAATTATTGCCAGCCCGATTTTTGAAAATGGTGTTGTCAAGATTTTGGACGAGAATGAGGCAAACTTGACAATCAGAGAGAAAGAGGAGTGTCAATCTCTGAGGAGCTGTACAGCTGTTTTGCCTTCTGTGAGTGCCAGTTCGTCGGATTTTGCAACACGCGTTTTGGAGAGCAAGCGTGCAAAGACAACTGCGACGGAGTACATGAGTTGCAAATTTTTGGAGCCGACCTCGAATCGTATTGAAAGATTTTTCAGCGCAGCTGGGTATTCTCTGGGTGACCTGCGGCAATCAATAACCCCTTTACATCTCGAAGAACAGCTCTTTCTCAAAGCCAATGCACGAATGTGGAATATTGAAACCGTCAATGACGCTCTTCAAGAAGAAAACATTCGAACACTCGAAACATTCGAACTGAACGCCATTAATGGCCATTAATGGATTTTTAGTTTTCTCCATTTCCGTTAATTGATTTTTCGCTGAAATTTAATTTTTTTCACTTGAAAATTAATTTTAGAGCAGCCTTGCGAACGACCCGTCAATTGTACTTTCGTAAGTTTCGAGTGTAATTTGCATTTCTATTAGCAAATGAATTTGAAATGAACTTGAAAAACTAAAAATAAACTATAGAAACATCAAATTAGAGCAAATTAACATGACTTTTCCCTTAAAAAACACCACAAAACCTAAACAAGGAGAGCCGGTTTAGTAGCACTACGTTCCGCACATTCAATTTTTTTCAAAACGAAGACGGTCCTTTTTGGTGCGTTTTTAATGTGAGAATTTATCAAACGTGTAGAAAGTTAGTAAATAAAACATACTAGACAACTGTTGTCTCCAAAAAATAAATAATAAACAAAAATTGGAAAAAAAATCAAACAAAATAAATAAATGTTTTTCATTTGCAGGAAAATTTTATTTGATAAAATATAGTCAAAGAAGCGCTAAATGAAGCTTCCATAAATTTGTTTTCCCAAGGTAAAACTAAACTTTTAACTACTTTAAACATGACCTACTCGCTCGAAATTAGACTAAAACTTGCAAACGTACACTTTTTCGACGGGAAATTACTTTTGACATTTTTTGATGTACGACTCACGACTGAGAAAGCTTTAATATGACAGCTATAAAGATTCGTATATCACACAAATCATCACAATGATTTGGTTTTTGATTGTGTGAAAACAAAAAGCTTGCTCGCTCAGTTTATTCGCCCGAAATAAGAACAAAAATCTAAAATTTCGAACCAATTTGTCTCGTAACTGAGAACGTTTTATGGGAATTTTTTGATGTCGGACTTAACTGTAAGGGCTTTACACGATGATATATTCCTCGACTAATCCAATGATTCATTAGGGTACCTGACAATTATTGGTCCATTCATTTTCAATAGTCGGAAGAAAAATGTCTTCACTTGGTTCATGGGCAAAATAATAACGTAGCTACCAGACACTTGGAAAGAGTCGATGAAAGCAAAGAAACAGAAAATATCTCACTTTGTTTTAGAAAAAACTTCAACTTTTGAATTTCACAGAACAATTTATTAACGGCACCATTATTATTATTAATATTATATTAACAATATGATTAATTTTGGTAAAATTAACACAATTTGAGAGCTAGAGCATTAGGTTGAATTTTCAATCAGCTGGAATTCTAAAATTAGTTTTCACTTTCGAAATTAGAAGTCGGTTACGTTATTTGTGACCTTTTACACTTTTGCTCTTTGATAATGGAGTTTTCCTTCCTTTTAACAAAGCAAATAAACTGAACTTAAAAAATTAGAGAACGAATTTTGCTAACCTTCTAGCAAAAGAACTCGAATTGAACTCAAATGGCACATATACCTAAGGGCATTCATAAATGCATTATTATGTTTGAATGCATTTTAATAGTTAATATAGAATTTCAGAATTTCCTTGAGAACAAAACAAAAGATTTTCACGACCTATATACGAGACTGAACTACGTTCATCGACTCTTAAACATAGCCAACAGACAGTTGGAGAAAAGTATTATGTGATGAATCAAGCGGCAAGGACTTCAGAAATTGTAAAAAACGAGGTTTCATGAATTTGTTATATAACATTGCAGCTATCGTTGTTGCTGATAGCTGGACTAATCGATTAGTGATGGCTGAATACTTGTTTAGTAAGAACAATTCGGTGATACTTACAGTATTACATAACAACCAAAAATCAGAACAGGAAAGTTTCCAATAGGAAGAATCCATATCTAATTTCATCGACTCTTACACATAGCCAACAGACAGTTGGAGAGAAGTATAAGAACAAGGAAACCGAAAAGAGTTGCCATTTCGAAAAGTTTGGGACAATTAACGCGCGATATACTTCGCGCTATTAATGCGTAAGCGGAGAATTAATCCGTCTCAGAAATCGTTCTAAATTGGTTTAAGAAAGCTCATTTGTCAACTCTTATTTGTTACTAGGAGCTAATTCTATCACTTGTACTTTAAATGGCGTGTTGGGGATGACTTTCACAAAAAGTCTTAAATTAAAGAAAAATCATTTCATTTTATTACATTTGATTTTTTCATGTCATTACTACTCCATGGACCTTAAAAGGCAGTTGGAACATAGAGGGCTTCGCCCTGATACGAGCAGTCTTGTTTATTTCTTCGGCTACAATAAAATATATGTTGGAATCATACTGAAATCAAGGTATATTTCAGTAAAAGCAAGACAAAAAACAAATCATTCCAAAACCTCGAACAAGACTGCTTGTATGTCAGGAAAGACCTGAATGTTCTTAATGCAATTCAGGTAAACGAAAAAGTGTTTTGGTTGAACAAATGACAAAAGAACCGACAAAAAAATCAATTTTTTCTCTTTATTTTATCAGACCCCCCCCCCCACGCTATGTAAAATACAAAGGGTTAGGGTATGTTTAGCGTCTCGTATTGTTTCAATATGACTAACTTGCTGGTCTCTATTCAAATTGGAACGCATTAATCCTCCGCTTACGCGTGCTAAGAACGCAATATATGGCGCGTTAACCCAAATTGGCCAAATAAGCAATTTTCAACCCCCGTAAATTTACGAAAATTGATCAAAGATAGAAAAAATCGTTTCAAATTTAAGGTCAGAAAAAAATATCTTTCTTATGGTTTAGAAAAATTCTGCTAAAAGCGCTTAGTTTAAAATTCAATAAAAATCACGCCAAGCATAAATATTCCGCATTTTCTTCGAAAGTCGAAACAATAAATGAAAAAAACTATTCAGAAAACTATTCAGTCGAAAGAAAACCAGAACGCTGAAAAACATCATCGCCGAAAATAAATAACTTTGATTTACCGCTATAAATTTAATGGTTGGAGCCCTAAGTAAAACAATTGAACGGGTTGGACTCAGCCGACATAACTTAAGATGACAAAGACCTAAACAATAGTCGAAAAAAACGAAAGACCTAAATATAAAACAAGCAAAAAAACTCCCATCGGGACGATAACTTCATACATGTATCAGAAAATTCAAATACGTTATTTCTGAGGCAACCACTCACTAAACAATTGATTAATTTTGTTTCAATTATAAAGCAATTTGAATCTTTAACCAATATCCCAAGATATGGCTTCGAAATAGAACGTAAACCACCCAAGAAACCATTTGGATAGCTATAACTCTTTTCCGTACGTCGATTTCCGATAATTTTTGTATGTAAAAAATAGCATGTTGCATTTTAGATTTCTGATAGTCTCCTCAAAAATTTATGGTCTTTACCGCTATCGGCTTTTTTACCGGTCATCTTATTTTCGTTCATATAACAAATCAAATTTAAAACGCAGAACGAAGCTTGACCTAATTTTGTTTTGTAGTTGAGCTCTGAGTCGTATATTCTGAATGGTATGTATTTGAAGGGCTCGTCGTATATCCGCTCAATGAGTCGTCGGTTCACGGACCAGAACTGGTCAAAATTTGAGTCCTTGAAGCCGAACCAGAGTTTGTTGTAGTCACTCTTCTGCAGATTAGACATCACTTGACTCCTGTGTCTCAGAGCGTCCGCCTCTTTCACACACATGATGAAGTAAGACTGAAGACTGTCCAAAGATGCACTGTTCCTGACGAAATAAAATTTAACGATAAATAAAACACGTAAAAGTACTGTAACAAAGCTGCTCATTTGTGCCTTTTTGTACCGATACCCTCTTTAAAATCTATGAAGATTGAGAAACTATTTTGATCGCAATTTTTACACAGGCGAAGCTGAGCTATGCACCACCTGCACTACACAAGGCCATTGACTCGTAAAAAAACTGACGAAACGCCAAAAAGAACAATACACAATTTTCACATATTTGTTTCAAACTGAAACTCATATTGATCAAAACCTAAGGCAGAACACAACAGCCAGTATTGAACTACCTTGAAAAACTTCGAATAACGCTACTCATTGAGCTACAATGTAGTCAGTGGCCTGTACATAGTGAGCTACATCTACATGGCCTGTACGGTATGCGTTAGTACAACCTGATTTTTTTCTCTGCTTTTTGGGTGTCGGCTCTAGTTTCTGTCCGGGAATGACACAGAGGTGAAGCGAGCTTCGCAACACTTTCGATGCAAAAAACACATTGTGCTACAAAATAGTGAATGAAAAAAAAGAAGTCAAAAGAAATTTCTGGAATATTATGTTTAAAAAAATTACTTGAAAAAAATTGACAAAACGCCAAAAAACATCAACACCGAAAATTTTCACATGTTTGTTTCAAAGTGAAACTCATATTGATGAAAATCTGTGGCAGAACACAACAGCCAGTATTGACATAGCTTGAAAAACTTCGAATGACGCTACATATTACGCTACAATATAGTCAGTGTTGGCGCTAGTTTCTCTCCGGGAATTACGAATGAACACAGAGAAGCGCAGCTTCGCAACATTTGCGATGCAAAAAAAAACACATTGAGCTATAATATAGTTAATGAAAAAAAGACAAGTCAGAAGATACTTCTGAAAAATAATGTTTGAAAAAACTAATAGAAAAAATAACTTGGTAAAACATAAGTTGGAAAATAACAGCTGCAAAAACCTCATATTTGTATCAGATGAAGTTCATAATCAGTTCCTTAAAATGGAAATCATTTACCGAGCGGCAACAAAGCCGAAACTTAAGGTCGAAAAAAGTTGTGCCGAAAACAAAAATCTGGGCATGAAAAATTTCATTAAATTTAAAGTTGTTAAATGGTGTAGCTTCCGGCAAAGACCACTATAATGATTTCAAATGCAAAGCATGCTTGGATATTAATCCATCCACAAAACACACCAGCCCCTGAACCAGTTTTGCACGCTGGAAAAAAAACGAACTTGCCAGGTTATGGTCAAGCTAAATTCCTGGTACGAATTTCGCTTTACTTCAAAAAATCGTTTTCTGGAAACCGTTTTCTTTATTTGGGTAAAAATAAGTGTGGTTACAAATTTGTTTAAACATTCAACAGCCTACTATCAATAGCCGCTAAGCCCAAAACGAGTGCAGAATCAGCTCTCCTTGCATTGATGATATGCCACACCTAATTCTTTCTCGTAAAAAATAAATGGAAACGATGGTTCCATCGCTACAACTAGACATGTCGATCAAAGACAAGACATGAGGAACAGATGTGAGTTTGAGCCATTGCTAGACAAAATGACAAAACCACAAAAAGAACTCACGAAATCTGTAAAAAAAAGAAGAAAATGATCGCAAAAACTTTGAAAGAATATGAATTCCGGGTAATTTATCAAATGCATTAAGTTGCTTGACAGCCAAATCAAAGAGAGGAATACCCCATCTTGATGAAAAACTGGAAACAAAACTGTTCTACCTGTGCTCAATGAGAAGCATCCAAAACCAGAAAAAGCAAACCCTATTTAACTCATCAATAGCACCAATGAAAACGCACTCTCATATCAACACTCGACAAACTTAATGGCCTCAAAATACGCACAACTGGACTTCTTAGACAACTATAATGCATGTCGCCTTGTAAAGATAGATAAAAACTTACTCCCGACGGTAAATTTTTATGTGAAAAAACTGTGAGTGGCCGCTAAAACAGGGGATTTTCCACACTACCCGTTATCTCCCTTGAACCCACGACCTCAAATTTGGAAGGTTAGTTTTCAAGAAAAGTTAGATAAGATTCAAAAAACGGCCGAAAATTTGATTATTCCGAGGGCCATAACTCCGGGTTAAAAACTCTGGCTTTAACCGCTTAGGGAGTTTTTGAAATCTGTTCTATTGACTGAAATCAAAATCTCGGATTTGGTAGTTTCTTTTGGACGGAACCAAAAAAAAAATCAAAAATATTGGTCAATTATTCCCCCACAGACTTATTCGAAGGCTGTAGAAAAAGGGTTAAAGCAAAAACAGACCAGGGGAGTATGCAAGCACACAAAATTTTAGGCGGTCTTTTTATGGATACCTTTTGTGAAAATCAGTAGAAAGGTTTTAGGGGAAAAAAACTTATTTTTTGCCTAAAACTGCTAAAATTTTCCGAAGCTTCTCAGAAAAAATAACAAAAAACATGAATGTTGCTCGTACAAGTAAAATACCCAATATCTACACTTCAAAATACCTGCTTTTATCAAACAGGAGTCTAGACAATCATACCAAGCAAAAAAAATTGAAAATCAATGTAGCAACTGAACAAATTTTACGAATTGGAAACACGCCGAAAATCTTTGAGCAGACACCGAAAAAAACTGATATTGTAAAAAAAAATTAAAAGTCCTCAATGCAAGAACCCTGTAGTAACTAGTAATCACCAAAAAGTTTAGTTTGAATTTTCGTTAAATTCAGCATGTCATCTGAATAGCAGCATCATATGAATCAATGATTTTGTTAAACTAGTTGTTAACCCGAAAAAATGTCTACATTCCGATTTGATAACGCTTACTAATCGCAAGCGTAAAAAAAAGTTATTCTTCAGTTTTCAAGAAAAACTCTTCGTACAAAGCTTACTTGAAGCATAGCCAACGAACGGTTGAAAAAGAGTCAATGAACGAACGCAAGGAAACATAAAAATGAACTGACTTGTTTAAAAAAAACTCCCGAATTTAAGAAAAAATATAAACATCTTTAAGTTATTTTCAATTTGCAGAACAATTTTTGATAAAATTGACCCAATTTTAACCATTAAAAACTTAGCCAACAGACAGTTGGAAAAGACTCAATGAACGCAACGAAACTTCACATTTCCAAGAAAATAATATATTGCATTGAAGCTCTTAGAATTTTAATAACAATTTACGATTGAAATTTTTTCATACAAATTACCCAATTTCAGAACATAGCCAGCAGACAGTTGGAAAAGAGTCAATGAACTCATATAAACAGAAAAAAAAAAAAACATTTATTGAAAAAACCTCATTTTCCGAATTTTTTTCCTGCCTTTTTAACTTCGAAAGCTCAAGTTATGATACAGACTGATTTAATCATAGAATAGGACAGATACAGTCAGTTTCAATTACTTATCGGAATCCAAATCTGTTATTTGACTGCTAAATCTTAAATGATAAAAACCATTCAAAATGAAATTTTACACCTGAGTCGTATCAATGTATAAACCATTCTTACCGAAGCAATTCACTTTTAGGGAAATTTGTTAGGTGCACGGTGATGACCCAAGGGAGTGCATCCTCAGAAGCTAGCAGATCATACAAGAGGCCGATCGGATAGTGCCACTTTAATTTGCAGCCATTATATTCAAACCAGACTTCGTCGAAATCTTTTTTGTTGATGTATCTGCAAAAAAAACCATCATTTTGATTTCAAAATGTCTATCTAATTTAAAGATTTCAGCAGCAAAACTATTTTACCATAAAATAAAGCAACGACATAACTTACTCGATGAAATGTCTCTGTATCTTATCTGAGATTTGTGATATGTAAAAAATGCGGTTCATCATAATGTAAAATGGTTGCGGTTTATCAAAAGATATTATTTCAGCCTCTGACAAGACGAATTTCACAGGAACTTTGCCTTCCCATATGGCTCGTACAATCTCTCTGTCTTCACTCATATCCAAACCTGACAACAAAAAATCTTGACATTTTTGTTCCGACAATTGCAAATTGGTAGGAACTTTAGGTTCGGTTGTTTTAGTTTTTTATTAAATTATTTCTTCCACGCAAAATCATTTTTAGGTCATTTCACTTGTAATCTCGTAATTCCAAGGAAACGTTGAAAACATTTTCACAAAGTCAAAAACTCTATGGTCACTTTTCAGTTTTAGTCTACTTTCGAGAGTAAAATGAGCGAACAGGCCTCATGAAATTAAAACTCAGATAAAGACGTTAGGTGACAATAAATTGCCAATTTTTATTGAAGCACCTCTTTCGCATGGTCAGAAACACCCGATTCAGGACAAATTTAACTAAAATCATTTATTGACCGGTTTTGATGCATTAGATAAATAAAAGCCTCGGCAAAGTGGAACGTAAGCAAAATAAGAGGAACACCAGTTGATTGTGCAATTTCAAGAGTGGTGAAATATTCGACGGTAAATAATCTTTTTGCTGTAACTTACGATAGAGGCAGTGGGTTTTCTGTAATGAAAAGACAAACTTGTGATAAAAAAACTACAGGAAGTTCTGAATTAACAACAGTTTACAGAAATCGAAAACTGCACAGATAGTTTGATCCTGAAGGGGATAAGATATCAAAAAAACTACTGGAAACGAAAAACAAGAACTCATCAGTGATAAGAATTGTTCAAAACTCAGAAAAACCGGAGCTCAGCCACTAGGTTATACGGTTTGTCTTAAGAACAGAAGCAAGAAACACCACTCCGTGCGGCTTACAGAAATCGAAAATTAAGCATTTTCAAGATATTGTGTAGTTCTCCGGTTCATATAGTGTAATACAACGCGGGTATCACTGAGCGATTGTCCGTCCAACAACTAAGTAGAAAAAAAAACAATATTTTCAATTAAATTACAAATTCAATTAAAATACGCGTTGGTGTGGCCCCAATTATTCATTTACTTCTACAGAGGTTGAAATCGATTTTCACAACATTTAACTTCAGCTTCAGTGTAGTCATCAATTGATAATGAAGGATTCTAAGCTTCTGATTGTTCCATGTTTTCCTGATATCCTCATAAACATCGCAAATATCAGCTGAGCAAAAGTAAAAATCTTCACAGCTCCGTTTCTGTATACAACTTGATAAAGATATACAATGAACAACTAGCAACTGACAAGTAGCTTCTTTTGGTGTCAAGATCGTTAATTACTGTTGTCAATTCTCAGAAAATCATCATAAAATCTCAACTAAATTTAAAATTTAACCTTGACTGTTCCATTCAATAGTTCCAATTCCCTATAATTTGTCTCCTCGCCGTTTTCAGAAAATCCGGCAAACGGCAAGATAAAAGTATCGTCAAACAGTTGAACAAGGAATTAGAATTAAAGGACTGGCCCACTTCGAGATCTTCCAACAACAACTGCTTTCAAATCGATGTCTTCCAGACTGTTTCATAATTACATCATTTTTTCAACAAACGTCCCTTCAGTTCATTCACTTGACTCAGGCTGATTTTTCATTTTCTGTTTAGACCTACGATACAACTGACTGCTTATGAACAGCCATGGAACGCTGACAAACTTGTTATTGGAACTTCAAGGACGAAACAAAAACATAGGAAAGTCTTCATTCAGATGTTCATTCGTCTCGAGGCGCAACCGATAGAGACCTAAAAAACAGATAACCTAACCTAACCTTCAATAAGAACACGTCGAGTTGCGTGTTCTTATTGAAGAAACGTAACCCGTATCGATTTTAATTGAAAAACACTTGTCATCTTCTTTTATCATTATCACTTCCATATCTAGAAAATTCCAAGGATTTTGACTGGAATACATGATGAAGGGACTCATGACTGTAACCTCGGTTACTATGATACTTTTGACCTTCTGATTACCAAAACAAACAGAGACTTAACAAACTTAAATAGTTTCATATAGCGAAATGCCTGGGACGAGGTCGAGGTTGGCAACAAATATTAGTTAAGTTCTCAGATAGTTACGCTGTAGAAAACACGTTAGCGCGGTCATGAATGCTCAAATTGTACGAACCAACATATAACGGTAAAGCGTATCGCGTGTTTCTCTCAAATCCCTGAAGAAGAAAGAAGAAAAGTATTAAAGTAACATCTGAAATAAACACCAGATATACCAAAAAAATGGAAACTGTGATGGAATGATGAAGTCAAGCGAGTTCACCAGTACCTTGGTCCTTCTGGCTTTAGCCTTGGGTCAGTTTCTAAAAGTTTCTCAAAATTCTGTCTGGAAACATAGATCCATACACCTTTTTGACTGCCACTTCGGCAGTCGGTAGCCGTTTTCTTAACCTTTCGGACCAGTAGTCGCGCCTATGCGGCACAATGTCATATAGTTGATGCTTCGAACCAGGTTTAGAGATATTATTCAGAAGTCTCGCCGTTTTGACTTTAATGTGTTCTTCGATAGGAACAAATTCTTTTATAATACCCATACGAACAGCACGTTTTTGAACAGCGTCCACTTTTCTAAGAACCGTTTTCGCAGCGCTGCCCCATACTTCCAAAACGTATGTTAAGATAGATAGAACAAGTGACTGATAAGGCAAAGAAAAGTCATCTGCACGATATCCCAATCGCTTTAGTTTGAGAAGCAGGAACAAGTTTGAGGAAGCTCTACTGTTTGTCTTGGATACATGTGGTAGAAAAACTAACCTGCTGTCTATAAAAATTCCCAAAACTTTCATATTTTCAACCAGCGGTGTGCTTTCGATATCTGTGCCAGTCGGTCATATTTGGAAGTTTGACCTTGAGAGAAGCAAAAAACACTTGATTTTGGAGTGAAATTTAATTTTTCAAAATTTCGAATGGAACCTGTCATGCACGATTTTCTCGCGAGAACTGAAAATCAGAAAAAGAGATCAGAACAATTTCAGAACAATTGAGTCGAAAACGCGGGAAAGTCGCAAGAAAAAGCAGTAGGAAATTGCTATTCGCAATTTCCATCTCTATAATAATCGAGAGTAGAGCTGTCCCATCTGTGACAGAGACGAGAGCATTCCCTCGAATTGGATTATAACGACTGGAGTATTATTCGGAACTGGACTAGAGTGAACCTTCGGTGGAAAGGTGGACAGCTTGAGTGTCCTAATGGTTCACAAGAAAACTATTGTCTAGAGTATAAACTCGTTCTCATTGTTAAAACTATAAAACATTAGACTCATTTAGTTACGTTATTTAATTCTTGAGTTAGTTACCGACTGGATTATTTCCCACTTCTTGAGCGTGCTACTATGTGAGTACAAATTTAAATTCCCAGAGTGTGTTTTATAATTGTTATGTCGAGGTAAGGCGAGTTTTAGGTTGATCCATCTGAAATGGATCAAAGTTACACTGTCTAATAAAAAGTAACTTAACGGATTGTTCCAACCCGGTTTTTAACGGCGTTCATGTATTTTGGGTATCTAGAGACCTAAGTATGGGGACGTTTCTAATTCTAGAGTGGGGGGATATTTTAGTAGTAGCCTTTAAGCTGTAACGGGTCGTAGTCTCATGTCACAAGCGAACCGAACTGGCTCCGACCGTTCTTGAGGTAGAAAAACACAAGAGATAGTGTCCCTGACCCTTGAGCCAGTGGTTATAGGGCCTATTTTTCTTAAGCCTCATGTGTGACTGCAGTAGACGAATGTTACATAGTGTTTTTATGGCGCTCCTGGGTGTTTACGACATCAAGACTACGGAGTCGAACCCACTTGAGACAGCTTCGGGCTGAATGCCCATTCTAGAGTACCGGCGGTACGGTTCGACAGGAACGTGCAAACCTTCCGGTTGTACCGTGATAGCTTTTTAAGAAAACTCGAGAAAATTTCCTGGTACGCTCTCCGAACGAGGCTTAGCTAACCGAGTAAAGGGGGGCAACTAGGGGGACAAAAACACGAGCAAAAAGACAAAAAGCAAAACAAAAAAGCCAAAAAAGAAACGAAAAAGGAACAAAAAACCATAAAACGAAAAAAGACAGTGACTTTGACACCAGATCAGTTGGATCAAACCTTTATATTAATTAAATAGTATACCCATACTGTTTTATAAGTTCGATCGTTTCGATCAACCTAGCAATTTAAACCAGTAAACTGAATAAAGTGCCCGAAGTGGGGCGTCGTCAAGGGTTTTCAGATAGCTTGGAACTTAGCTGGACCAATAGGAGACTTGACTGGAAGAGGTGACCAGCCGAGTGGGAAAGTGGTTCAGGGACACTTGAGCTGAACCAATAGGAGACTTGACTGGAAGAGGTGACCAGCCGAGTGGGAAAGTGGTTCAGGGACACTTGAGCTGAACCAATAGGAGACTGGACTGGAACAGGTGACCAGTCGAGTGGGAAAGCAGCCAAGAAGGATTTGGCAATTCTCGAGTTCTCAAGTTGGGCAGAACGGGTATCGTTAGAATCCACATTACATTATAGGAGATAAGTGTAAAATTGGATAAGCGAAATCCCCCAGTTTTGAGGAACGTTTTTACTTGAGCAGGCCTGGAAACAGGTCTACGGTTTTCTCTTGAGAGGTTTAGCACCCGGCGCTTAAAGTAATTTTTAGGCTTAAGAAGGGGGGCTAGACAGGGGGGAGGTTAGAAGGGGGACTGGTTAAGTTAGAGGTTGGCGGTTGTAAATTGTAAAAAGGGGGAAATTAGAGTAACTAATTAGTCGACATCGTTGACTTAGTTACATTAGAAATTAACACGCGTTGGTAATATTAGGTGGAGATCAAAAATTCAACTCGAGTTAAGACTGGTACGCTGGTTGGTTTGGTAGGGGGGACCGGATATAAACAGCTTTTGTGAAACCCCATAAGATCACTAGTGGGGGGAGGAAAACGCGTGGCAATTAGGTACCAGACATTTTTTTCGACAAAAGGTAGACATTGGTCACCTTTGAATTTCAGGTGGGCTCATTTTTCTGTTTTTATTATTTTTCTTACTTAGATTTTTGTTGCATTTTAGTGAGGATTTGTGTTTGGTTTTATACGAACAGGTGAT